CCCATGGGAGGGGATGATATTAAAAAAAGAACATTTCCAGACCCTAGCCTGCATCTAGCTTGGCCTCTTTGAATTTTCACACCCCTGTGCCATTTCCTCACTGCTCTGACAAGGGATTATAAATCTACCGGGTTGCATTTTACATTTCACTGCAGAGCTCTGAGCTTCTAGTCACCCAGAAGAGTCAAGATGATTTCACACACATGGCTTTTCTCAATGATTTTTTTTCTTTCTGGTTTCAAGGTAAGAACAAACAAAAAGATACAATTTTAAAAAAGCTTTGGTGGTTTATCTGGTATGGGACACCATTCCTAGTATGTTTAGTTCCTAATACATTTAATCATGTGAAATGTACATTTTAAAAGTGTTCTGGCGTCCACAGAATTTTCTTCCTGTTTCTAGACACCAGTGCAGAGATTCTGATGACTGAGATTCTGAGGACAGTCTCCAGCGCCCCTACCAGTCGGTGTAGAAGAAAGCATTACAATCAGTTGCAGGGCCCATTCGGGGATTACCGATGACATAGTCTGGTACCATCAGAAATCTGGAAAAGCTCCAAAACCCATTATCTAGGAAGCTTCTTCTCAGCCTAATGGTGTCTCAGCCTGGTTCAATGGCAGTGAACCTGGCACTGATTTCACATTCACCATCAGCAATATTGAAGCTGAAGATGCTGTAGATTATTACGGTCAGCAGTATAACTGCTATCCTCTCACAGCAATACAGGCTAGTACAAAAACCTCCCCATGCTCTGCAGGGTGGCTTGTTCCGGCCAGCTGTTCTACACTCATTCTGTGTAGGCCTCTCTACACCTGGAGGGCCCCTGTAACTGTTGTATCATATTCCCAGTTCAATTCTGTATGTGCAAGAAATGAAGCAACTTCTATCATCCCTTTAGTTTTGCAGCCCATTTCTGCTGGTTATGTATATTCCCCCATATCTATGATGTTCCCATTAAAATGTCAGTATTGGTTGGTTTGCTTATATTTAAACAGATTTACATACAGAATCTAAAATGATGAAGTTAGAGTCCAATTTGCTTCCCTGAGTCATGGGCTTCCCTGTGGCTCTTCTAACACAGATTTCTTTTCCCCCCTCAGAGGGGCTTCAGCTGTGACGGGGGCCTCACACACAAACACAAAAGGAATGTACAAGGGCTAGGGCAAGATAGTTCCAGACAAGTCCTAGTCCAAATTAAGAGATCTCATTTGAAAACAATAGGGCCTCGATTAGACTCCCAAATTGCACGTTTGTGTGCTTGTATCAACACATGGAAGCATAAATTCCCCTTTCCATGAGCCTAAATCCAAATCAAGCATCAAACTCTGGCATTTGGACTAACACAGCTCCGTGGTGGAAAATTGCCCCCCCCCCCCCATCAATTGCATATTGAAATGTACAACTAGAGAACTAAAAGGGGAAACATGCATCACTATAAAGATGACTGTACAATATTGCACTCTGTGGGGGAATGCACCAATACTTGCTTGGGCAGTCCTTTGATGAATTAAACTGTGAGGAATTCTGGCACCAGCACCAGCCACTAG